GCTGGTGGCCGTCCGCGGCCGGTCGGCCAGCGTGGCGCCGGCGCCGACGAGCGCCGCGTGCGCCAGGTGCCGATCCGCCACGAAGATGGAGAGGCGCCACCCGATCCGGAGCGTCACGACGGGGCCGTACTTGTCGAACAGCTTCAGCAGCAGAGGCTCCAATTCGGCCGCCGAGTGCCGCAGCCACAGCAGGTTGCCGAACAGCGGCACGGCCGGCGGGCCAGGCGGGAGGCGGCGGCGCCGCCTCGAGGTGACATCGCGCAGGAAGACGAGGAGCGGGAGGAGAAGGACGCCGGTGAGGATGGCCAAATTATCCATCAGCGTTGGCAGCTGTTTTCGCTTGCGTTGGTTGTCGGACGAGGCTAAACTGTTGTGTACCCATACATTTTATAGGTCTTCGGCTCAAGTCAGTAGCAGTAGACTCAGTACTATGGGATGTAATATGTTAATCTTATTCTTTTAATAAAACTAGCTGGGTGGCCCGCGCAATTGCGCGGCTAGCATCCAAATAAAATCATATATTTTTTAATATGATTTTACTTAAAATTTATTAAATAGCTATCTCATTGTCTTAAGACTTTGAAAGACCAAACCTTATCATCCTCGTGTTTCTAATTATATAGTTTTTAAAAGTCACATCAGTTGCTACCCCTTATGTCATCTTCTTCTTTATTTGTTTGCTCGATCTACCACTATTTCTATTTATTCTTCTTGGAACCTTTAAAAATTGAATTTTATAGTTTTTAGAGTTTATTGTCACATTGGGTTTCGTTTTTATAATTTGTAGATGTCTCGTCAAACGTTGTCATTATACTCCTCTACCGCCCGTCCACTGTTTCTTCTTTTTATTGTCATTGAAATTTTAAAAATCAAAGATAATTATCATTTGGGTTTATTTTTACTTTCTAGAAGTCCCGCCAAACCGTCAGCGGCTTTGCCATTGTACTCCTCTACAGCTCACCCGCAGCCTCCGTTCTTTATTGTCATTGAGATTTTAAAATAGAACATGATTATCATTGTTTCTTTTTTACTTTTTGGAAGTTCCGAACCTTAAAAAATTAGACTTGTAGTTTTATTATTTTTATAATTTTTAGAAGTCCCATCAAACGATGCCACTATGCCCCTTTACAGCCCGTCCGCCGCCTACTCTTTATTGTCGTTGTGATTCTAAAAATCAAACATAACTATCGTTGGAATTCATTTTTTATTTTCTAGAAGTCCCGTCAATCGTCGGCGGCTCAGCAACTATACTCTTATACACCCCGCCCGCTGCTTCTCCTTTTTATTGTCATTAACATTTTAAAAATCGAATATGATTATCAATGGGGTTTATTTTTTATACTTTCTAGAAGTCCCGGCAACCGCCTTACTTGTTTGCTTCACGGCCTGTCTGATGTCCCTCCTTTTAATCGTCATTAGGATTATATTTGGTGTTTTATTAATAATTTTTATATGTCGTATCAACCGCCACCACTCTACTCCTTTCTAGGCTGTTACTTAATTTATCTCGTCATGTGTTGTAGATGGTCTTTTCTTTCAATAGTCTTTATTTTTATCACAAATTTTAGTTATTTATAAATTGTATTTCTAATTGAAATCTTATTTTTCTTTTTCTAATTTCAGAATTTATTTTTTTTAAAAAAAATAGTTAATACCGTATTGTGTTCCTTTAATGTTTTTATTTTTATTTTCAATTTCAGTTGTTTGAAAATTGTATTCCTACTTAAATTCTCTTTTAATTTTTCTAATTTTGGATATTATTTTATTTTTTTAATTCGAAATTTTAATTATTCTTGTATTGGGTTCTTATATGGATTCTTCTTTCAATATTGCTTATTTTTTATTCCGAATTTTATCTAATTTTCAATTGTATTCCTACTTTAACTCTTCTTTTATTTTCTTTTGCTAACTTTGGATTTATTTTATTTTAATTCGAATTTTAATTAATCTCATATTGGGTTCTTATATGGACTCTTCTCTTTAATATTCCTTATTTTTAATTCCGAATTTCAGGTATTTTTAAATTATATTCCTACGTGGACTCTCCTTTCCTTTTCTAATTTTGGATTTTATTTTATTTTTATTCCGAATTTTAATTAATTTCGTATTGGGTTCTTATATGGACTCTTCTCTTTAATATTCCTTATTTTTAATTTCGAATTTCAGCTATTTTTAAATTGTATTCCTACTTGGACTCTCCTTTCCTTTTCTAATTTTGGATTTTATTTTAATTGTATTCCTACTTGAACTCTCTTTTATTTTTTCTAATTTTGGTTATTATTTTATTTTTTATTCTAAATTTTAATTAATCTCGTATTGGGTTCTTATATGGATTCTTCTTTTAATATTGCTTATTTTTAATTCCTAATTCCAGCTAATTTTAAATTATATTCCTACTTGAACTCTTCTTTTATTTTCTTTTGCTAATTTTGGATTTATTTTTATTTTTATTCCGAATTTTAATTAATCTCGTTCTGGATTATTATATGGACTCTTCTTTTAATATTCCTTATTTTTAATTTCGAATTTCAGCTATTTTTAAATTGTATTCCTACTTGGACTCTCCTTTCCTTTTCTAATTTTGGATTTTATTTTATTTTTATTTCGAATTTTGATTAATCTCGTATTGGGTTCTTATATGAAAATTTCTTTCAATATTGCTTATTTTTAATTTCGAATTTCAGCTTTTTTTTAGATTGTATTCCTACTTGGACTCATCTTTCCTTTTTCTAATTTTGGATTTTATTTTATTTTTATTTCGAATTTTAATTAATCTCGTGTTGGGTTCTTATATAGAAACTTATTTCAATATTACTTATTTTTAATTCCGAATTTCAGCTCTTTTTAGATTGTATTCCTACTTGGACTCTCCTTTTCTTTTTTTTTCTTTTTCTCCGATTAATGTGGGAATTTCTAGCCTCCACAGCGAACGTGGTGTCTTCTTTTCGAGCTGTCTTAATAATATAATAGATTTTAGAACATGTTCTGTACATACGGTTTTGCTAACTAGCATATGATGCATGTTTTAAGCAGCCTTCCTGTTTAGTTTTTCTTTTTGACTGTCAGAACTTAGGTTTACATTCGTGCTGTGGCTGGAATTTTATTTAGAATTGATCTCAACACCTTGGGCTCGTTCTTTTCCACAACTAAAGACTGCAACTTAGTTCTTTTTCATTAGCATGCTTCTCGAACCGTTAAACGATGTGTATTGTAAAAATATTACCGTTTGAGGCTAATCCATTTTTCTCTGTGTCAGGTTGTGTTAGCTATCCAAGCGAATTGGTGTTTCAAGCGCATAGCAATGGGAGATAGAAGATTGAGCTTATATGGAATAGCAATTGTGTTCGCACATCTGAAAAAGGGGGGATGTAGCCTAGTGGTTGCAGTGACCTGAGTAACACCCTAAGGTTCTGAGTTAAAATCTTCATATGAGCGAATTTCAAATTGAGTTATTTGCAGTGCTAAGTTCTCAATTTAAATTGTTGCATATATCCATTTGGATGTAGATGCTGGATAAAAAAAACTATTCTCTAACAAAAGTTGTGTTCGCCGAATCCACTTTCTGCTGAACACTCATGGATGTAAATGTGTTATCACACGTGGGATTAAGACCTTGTCCAGCACCACATGGCGGGCAGCCCTAATGGGCTATCGATCGCCCGCCAATGGGGGTAGCGATCAGATTCGCTACCCCCCTCCCCCCTCCCTCCCTCCACCTGATTTCCTATTTTAGTAAATTTATACACCTAAAGTTTATACACCTCAAGTTTACACATTTAAAGTTTAGAGACCCAAAGTTTATAAGTCAAAAGTTTATATATCCGATTCAAATTTGAATTTGAATTCAAATATCTTTTTATATATAGTATTTATATACATCTAAAGTTTATACACCTAAAGTTAGTTTATAGACCTAAAGTTTATACACCTCAAGTTTACACATCTAAAGTTTAGATACATGTTTCAAATTTATATTTGAATTATATCCGATTCAAATTTACCTGTTTCAAATTTGAATTTGAATTATATCGATTCAAATTTAAATTTGAATTCAAATATTTTCTATATATGGTATTTCTATGCATCTAAAGTTTATACACCTAAAGTTTATAGACCCAAAGTTTATAAGTCAAAAGTTTACATACCCGATTCAAATTTGGATTTGAATTATATCTGATTCAAATTTGAATTTGAATTCAAATATTTTCTATATATTGTATTTCTATACATATAAAGTTTATACACCTAAATTTTATAGACCCAAAGTTTATAAGTCAAAAAGTTTACATACCCAATTCAAATTTGAATTTGAATTTAAATTTTTTATATATAGTATTTCTATACATAAATTTTTCTAACTCTTTATTTTTTTTAAATTTTTGTGTGGTGTACTGTAGTAGGGGAGGAGTGTATCTAGTAGTATAGGGAGGGAGCGGGCGGGTGATCGCTAGGCGGGCGGGGGAGCGATCACCCGCCCATTAGCATTTCCGCCACATGGCATCTCAGTGTCGCCACCGTCGATGAGGGAGATGGGCATACATGCATGGTATATCGGTTTGCACTTTTTATTTCAGCGAAAATTTCTGTAGCACCAAAATACGAAATTTCATGATTTTTGGCATTTTAGACCAAAATTATTTGAAATTTCGACTGAATTTGAATAGACTTTGATCAAACTTAACAAAAAAAATTTGACATATTTTAAAATTCCGGTCGATATAATGACTTGTCGGTGGGGTTCGAAATTTCAGAATTTTCCGAAATTTTGAACCAAAATCGCTATCACTAGTCATGCGAGCACGAAGAATTAGGGAACAATTCAATATGAATTCGGGTTAAACCCATTTATGCCCAAAAATACCAGTCCAATCCAAACCCTTTTTTCTTTTTTTTTTTTGCCTCAGTCCAAACCGCTCCGGTCCGTTAGCTCACTCAACCCATCTCCACCCAAATAAAGCCCACCCGTAGTGAAAAGGGTAAAATCCAGAAGAACACCACGCACAAGCACAACCTTGAAAATCTGAAGAGCACACGAAGCCCTAATTAACCAAAACCTCCGCCGCCGCCGCCATGGCCGCCGCGGTCGCCGCCTCCCCGGCGCAATCCCGCAAGACGGAGACCTACACCGACACCAAGCGCCGCGACGACGTCCGCGGCCTCAACATTGCCGCGGGGCGCGCCGTCGCCGCCGCCGCGCGCACCTCCCTCGGCCCACGCGGCATGGACAAGATGATCTCCTCCAGCTCCTCCGGCGGCGACCAGGCCGTCATCATCACCAACGACGGCGCCACCATCCTCTCCCGCATGCCCCTCCTCCAGCCGGCCGCCCGCATGCTCGCCGACCTCTCCCGCTCCCAGGACGCCGCCGCCGGGGACGGCACCACCACCGTCGTCGTCCTCGCCGGGTCCCTCCTCCGCCGCGCCCAGTCCCTCCTCTCCGCCGGCGCCCACCCCACCGCGGCCGCCGACGCCCTCCACCTCCTCGCCGCGCGCGCCGTGGAGGTCCTCCACGGCATGGCCATCCCCGTCGAGCTCTCCGACCGCGACGCCCTCGTCAAGTCGGCATCCACCGCCCTCAACTCCAAGGTCGTCTCCCAGTACTCCACCCTCCTCTCCCCGCTCGCCGTCGACGCCGCCCTCGCCGTCGTCGACCCGGCCCACCCGTATCTCCTCGACCTCCGCGACATCCGCGTGGTGAAGAAGCTCGGCTGCACGGTCGACGACACCGAGCTCATCCGCGGCCTCGTCCTCAACAAGAAGGCCAGCCATGTCGCCGGAGGGCCAACTCGGATCGGGGACGCCAAGATCGCCGTGATCCAGTTCCAGGTCTCGCCTCCCAAGACGGACATCGAGCACAGCGTCGTCGTGTCGGATTACGCGCAGATGGATCGAATCCTCCGCGAGGAGCGGAATTACATCCTTGGCATGGTGAAGAAGATCAAGGCATCCGGATGCAACGTCCTGCTCATCCAGAAAAGCATCCTGCGTGATTCAGTCACCGATCTGTCGCTCCATTATCTCGCAAAGGCCAAGATCATGGTCGTGAAGGATGTCGAGAGGGACGAGATCGAGTTCATCACCAAGACCCTCAACTGCATGCCAATTGCTAGCATCGAACATCTCCGCGAGGACAAGCTTGGTCATGCACATCTGGTTGAGGAAATCTCGGTTGGTGATGGTAACAATAACAAGATTGTCAAGATCACTGGCATCAAGAACATGGGAAGAACAGCAACTGTTCTTGTCCGGGGATCCAACCAGATGGTGATCGACGAAGCTCAGCGCAGCCTCCACGACGCATTCTGTGTGATCAGGTGCTTGGTGAACAAGAGGTTTCTGATCGCTGGTGGTGGTGCTCCTGAGATCGAGATGTCGATGCAGCTGGCTGCTTGGGCGAAGGAGCTGAGAGGGATGGAGAGTTACTGCGTCAGGGAGTTCGCCGAGGCGCTCGAGGTCATCCCTTACACGTTGGCAGAGAATGCAGGGCTCGATCCCATCTCCACTGTCACCGAGCTCCGGAATCGCCATGCCAAGGGCGAGAAGAACGCCGGGATCAACGTGAGGAAGGGTCGGATCACGAACATCCTGGAGGAGAATGTCGTGCAGCCACTGCTGGTGAGCACGAGCGCCGTCACGCTGGCCTGCGAGTGTGTTAGGATGATACTGAAGATTGATGATATTGTCACCGTGAGGTAAGGTTAATTAATTATGTGGTGGCTGACCGTGCTGGCCTCTGCTCTATTTTGTCTGTCATGTTATTTAGGAGATTTGATATTTTGACACCTTCTAAAGTGGCACGCTTTCGTTGATTCAGATGGTTCGAAATATCATGCATTCTCACAACTGTCAATAAAATCAAATTGGTACAAATAAAGTGTCAAACCATCAAATTTGGGTTTTACAATTTTATTTGTTTGCGTGCCTTTTCTGTCTAGATGTTCTGAGCGTATGTATTTGACGTCTGTGGAAGAGAATTATATGTTGTATTTGCCTCTACCTGGATGAAACTGAAGTGTAGACTGCCGGAAACGCCAGTTAGCGAGCAACCCAATTCGGCGAGACGCAGTCCAAATTCTCACCGCGCGAGCCGGTTTGGATGGGCCGAGGTCGGCTTGGATTAGGCCCATTTAGGCATTTAGTGAACATATTAGATACAGTCTATTTTGCCTCCCTCAAAGTGTAGCCCTAGCTTGATTTATTTCACTCGACCGCAGAACCGGATATAGAGCCTCTCTCAAGTCTCAAGTCTCAACTCTCAACTCTAAAAACCTGTTCAATTTAACTCCTTAATATGGCATCTATGTAAACTACAGATAAAAGTAAAAATAAAAATTCAATTGGACCACATGCTAGTGTCATAAGTAACCCCCTCTCTCACAACTATTTCTTCCTTTTCACTCTACTGTGGTGTGTGTGAGAGGGCCAGCGAGCCGAAGGCGGATCGAACGTGGAAGGCATCGGCGGCCCAAGGCCTTACGTGGCTGGCGAGCTGAAGACGGATTGAGAGAAGGAGGCATCGGCAGCCCAAGGCCTTACGGGGCCGGTGAGCTGGGGCTAATAGAGCTAGGAAGGTGGCGACCCTTCGAACTAGGGAGGCATCGACGACCCAAGGTTTTATGGGGCTGGTGAGCTGGAGGCAGATAAAGCAAGGGAGGTGGTGACGCTTCAGAGCTTCGTGACCTAACGTAGTGTGACATGGTTAGTGTTGTCGATGAAAAGGCCTCACGGAGTATGACGGGGACGAGTCGACGGTGGTGCTCCGTCCAGCTAGCAACGACGCTCTTGTGGACTCACAGATCGAGTTGTTAGCATGAGTTGACTAGGTCAACATGCCACATAAAACAAAAGCAATATCCAAACCACCAAACCTCTAAATAAGACAAATTGAACAGGTTATGAGAGTTGAGAGATTCTCTATATCTGATTTTACGATTGAGAGATATGGATCAATAGTTGAGGGAGGTAAAACATATTTTTTTTTCCAACACATAATCGAATTAAGCTAACCAGCCCACATAGGGCTCATTATTACATAGAAAACTAAATTTCGTTAAACCCGTTTAATTCATCCTCCTGCGCACGAGCTGAGCGCGAAGTGGCTTTGCCATGACGGTGGTGAACTCCAACTTCTCGGCAAAGTCCACCTCTTCGCCGGCGATCTCCCTCCACTCGAACTCCCTGACCATATTGGCCACGAAGTACTCCAGGTGCAGCATGGCGGTGTTGAGCCCCGCGCAAATCCTCCGCCCGACGCCGAACGGCATCATGCGGATCCCCTTGCTGCCCGTCACGTCCACCCCCTCGCCGTCGCCGCCGGGGAGGAACCTCTCCGGCATGAACTCCATTGGATTCTCCCATTCTTTCTCGTCTCTTCCCATCTCGGCCACCATGAAGTTCACCGTGGCGCCCTTGGGGATGAGGTACCCGCCGACCTCCATGTCCTCCGCCGCCTTGTGTGGCAGCGCGAAGTGGCCCGGCGGATGCTTCCGGAGACCCTCGAGGATGACGGCCTTCAGGTATGGCATCTTCTGGGTGTCCTCCTCGGTGATCTCGTCGTGGTCGTCGCTGGTCTTGGACTTGATCTCGTCGTGGAGCTTGGATTGGATGGATGGGTTCTTGACCAGCTCGGCCATGATCCATTGCAGCGTGGTTGACATCGTGTCCGTGCCTGCGTCGAGGAACTCGGAGCAGAGCCTGACCATCTCGTCGTCGGTGAGAGCGCGGTCGCCGCCGTCCTCAGGGAGCTTGATGTCGAGCAGCGTGTCGACGTACGAGTGCTCGAACGTCGTCGTCTCCTTCTCCGGCACCGCGCGTTCCGCGAGTTGGTTCTTGCGCTCTCGCCGCGCGCTGATGAGCGGCATGAAGAGCTCCTTCTGCCGCCGCCGCAGAGCGAGGCTCGTCTGGATGCGCCCACGGAAGATGTGCTTGGTGACCGCCGGGCAGAACGCGAAGACCTTCATCTTCGTCGCGTAGTGCAGGAGCCAGCCGTGCTGCGCGTCGCCGATGGCGCGCACCGCGGCCTCGTCGAGCCACTCGCCGAAGCACATGAGCACGAGGAGGCAGAACATGGCGTGCCGGAACGCGTCCGCCAGCACGGCGCCGCCGCCCACCAACCCGTCGACGAGCGCGCGGCGAGCCCAGGAGCGCGCGGGGGCGAAGGCCGCGCGGGCGCGCGACGGGTGCAGCGTCTCGGCGACGAGGTTGCGCCGCAGGAGGCGCCACGTCGGCCCGTAGTTGCCGCGCGAGATGGTGTTGCCGTTCTCGCCGAGGAGCGCGCGCGTGACCTCCGGCCGGTCCGCGAGCGCGGCGCCGCGCTCCACCAGCGCGGCGTGCGCGACGCGGCGGTCGGCGACGAAGATGGACAGGTGGGATCCCACGCGCAGCGACACGACGGGGCCGTACACCGCGATGAGGCGCCGGAGCAGGGGCTCCAGGTCGGCGGAGGAGTGGCTCAGCCAGAGCAGGTTGCCGAGGACAGGCACGGCGAGCGGGCCCGGGGGCACGCGGCTGCGGCCGCCGCATTTTCGCAGCGAGAGGAGGATGAAGAGTGCGACTAGGAAGGCGAGGAGGAGCATGAGCCACTGTGATGCGTCGACGTTGGCCATGGCGATGACGTCTCGCTCCTTGCGTTGTCAAGATGCTCATGCTCCGCTTCACTTGTGGGTGGAGTTGATTGGTTCGATGTCCATGGCACACGGGCCTCAAATCCATTCTAGTGGGGGAAAAACAAAAAATAGTATGTATACTTTAATAGTATTAACCTCAAATCCATTCTACATAGTGAGGAAAAAACCAAAATATTGACAAAATTATAAATATTTTTTTCTACAGCTAAAATGTAATAAATTTGAGGTTAAGATTTTATACGTAGGTACAATACTATTGAAAATACATGTACATATTTTTCTCGATTTTTTTGTGATATTTGTTTGTTGATGTGCATGGTGTGTATATGTGATATGTTTCCTTTATGGTTAGGTCTATCTTCTAAAATTTAATCAGCAAATATCATTGAAACTGCATCTGGAGAAGCTTCTATAAATAAATATTATTAAAATGCGCCAGCAGATTTTGAAAATTTAACGGCACGTGTTTAAGATCTCTAATTTTTTTCTCGGCTAACCTAGCTAAGGACCTGTTAGTTCCAAAAACAAAAACTTTCACGCTGTCACATCCAATGTTTGGACATATATATGTATGGATTATTAAATATAGAAAAAAATAAACTAATTACACAGATTACGTGTAAATTGCAAGACCAATCTTTTAAGTCTAATTGTGCCATGATTTAACAATGTGGTGCTACAGTAAACATTTGCTAATGACGGATTAATTAGGCTTAATAAATTCGTCTCGCAGTTTCCTAGCGGAATCTGTAATTTGTTTTGTTATTAGACTACGTTTAATACTTCAAATGTGTAACCGTATATCCGATGTGATAACCAAACTCAAAAATTTTCACCAACTAAACAAGGCCTAAACCATACTACAGCCCACCAAAACAAGCTTGATCGGTCATTAGCTTGCCGATGAAGGAGACATTCTAACTCTCCTTAGGGGTAGGGATTTTCTAGTCAGGTTAGTTTGCTAAGCACTAAGCAGAGCTAATTTTTGTAGTAATTTGCTAAGCCGTTTGGTTTAAAAAAACACTCAATTAGTTTATTAGTATTAATTAAGAGTGAACTATTAAAAGCTTCGTAAATGGATTTTCTTTGGATTCTTAGAAAACTATTCTAATGATTTTTTTTTAAAAAAAAAACCTGCATGGTTTAGCGGCATGAAAAGTATGACCGTTATAAGGAGCGGCCAATAAGACTTCCTTAGAATTAACACTGGTAAGGCTGCGTTCGGGAGGTGATGTTAGGCCCGCGCACACAAAACAAAGCCATGCATTTTATCATGATTAATTAAGTATTTATATTTTTTAAAAAATAGATTAATATGATTTTTTTAAAGCAACTTTCGTATAGAAACTTTTTTTAAAACACCGTTTAGTAATTTAAAAAGCGTGCGAGAGAAAAATGAGGGAGGTGAGTTGGGAAAGTTGTGGAAAGAACACAACTTAAATCATGGTAGGTAGATGTATAACACTTTAAATTGATTAATATGTATATAACTTAAAGTACAATTGTATCATGGCAATCCTAATCTTCCATCTCAGCTAGTTTTCATAGCATTAAATATATTGCTATATAAGAAAAAACTAAGGTGGCAAAGAGAGTTAATGAGGAGAAATAAAAAAAAAAAGATGAACAAACCAGCTCCATATAGGATCCGAGAATAAAAAATAAGAGGATTAGTGGATGAAAGGAGAGAGAACTGAGGTGATTGGATGATGATTTATTTTAAAGAAACCACCCATTAGATACTCCCTCTATTGAGCATTGTCAATTGATTATCATATAACCTTTTTAGTTATTCCCAAATTATCATCATATTAATATCAATTCTCTAATCTATTCGTTATCTATGCATGAAAGGCAATGGATATTGGTGCATGCATCTATGCACATAACTCTTCACAATAACATGCAATGTCTTTATTTATCATTGGCTAGAAAATGGTGCATGCATCGAATTTGTTATCGGAATAAATATAGTATAAGAGGGTCATTGTCTTTTGTTAGTCTTGGTGTGAATAAAGTCTGTCATATTTGTTAAAAAAATGTAATATGATGATCAATTGGAAACAAATGGAGTTTACAGTTTCAATACCTAATACATAACGTTTGTATGATATGGTATGTATGGAAATTAGTCGATAATATTTTTCCAGTATAAAAAAAAACAATGAGCTGCCGAAAATGGCATCGCTATAAAAGGATAAGTCATTTCATTGTCCACTTGCGATTTTGTGATAGTGTACCGTATAGTATCGTGCGGATCACAGTATCCTTAAAACGTCAAATTGCTACGGACAGAAATAGTACTATATTACTATCATGACCGCAGAGAAAGTAGTACTGTAGAAAGTAGGGAGTGGATTCTAATCCTTCAAGGGGATATCCCCTCGTATACCTTTTTCTTTTAAATTCGATGTAAATAGTTGTGAAAAATTCTGAAAAAATTTGACAATATAGAGCATAATGATACCTACTAGTCCACTGAAATTCATGTTCAAATTCGATCTACACATCGAGAAACAAAAAAACAAATTTAGATATAAACAGTACACTACTATTCATACGCTGAATTTGTCTTTTTTATATCTCAATGTGTGAGTTGAGTTTGGACTTAAGATTTTGTGGATTTGTATATATGTGTTGTATGAATGTTGTCAAATTTTTTTAGAATTTTTCATAACCGTTTAGATGGTTTTTAAGCAAACGATGGAACATCCCCTCGAAGGATTAGAATAGTTTCCCGTACAAAGTACCGCAGTAAGCCAGTAACGTTCTCCTCCGTCGTTGACTCATATATACTCCCTCCTCCCTCCTTCTCAAAAAAAAAAAAAAACTCTAGCCATGTATAATAAGGCCTATATAGCACAGGATCCTTTGATCGTCGTAGGAAATTTAGGGCTACTTTTGAAAACGAGACTGAAAAAACGTTCGAATAGTAAAAATATAAGATTTTTGATATGAATAAAAGTGTAAAATAGAATATTACAAAACATAAAAATAATCGTTTAATTGGATCGCATCAAAAACGCAAAAATTAGATGAGAGAGAAAAACTCAAAAGGAAAATTCTCTGAGGTTCTACCTCGTTAAATTTTCTCCAAAACTTGTATGATAAAAGATATTCCTAGGAATTTCATAAGATTCATTTGTATTCATTTCTTTTGATTCAAAAGGACTGTAAAAAAAATTCTATAGAAATGAAATTCTCCAAAATTCATACAACTTCCTTTGAATTAAAGGGGAGCATTTTTTTTCCTCTACTTTAAGAACGATGCAGATATGCAATTAACCAAAGAAGGAGTGAGATAATCAGAGATTAACCAAAATGATTGTTTGACTAGATAAGAAATAATGGATGTCGTGTAATCATCACTACTGATTTTGCTATGTTCCAACAACCAGCCCCAGTGTTTCACTTATTAATATGCTTATTCGAATCATTTATTAGCAAATAAAAAGCACATGCCGTAAAAAAACTACGATGAAAAAAAAATCAAATTCAAAATGAATTTTTGGCTTATAAGCATAAGCATAAGCCAAAATAGAGACCCATTTCTATCCATAATTCCTAAGTTATATATGTATATATTCTCCGTTTGTTTTGTACATGAATTCATGCGTTTTGTAGTATTCCTATATTTTCCTTTGAATGTTTTAGGTTTCTTACGTTCTAAACAGGCCGACTATCATTCACAACAAGGGTGGCGTCCGCATGTTCTAAGGCTGAGCGCAGGAGGATAAAAGAAAGTTGGTGAAGTGCTGTCTCTCTAGCAGTTGGTGTGGATCGTTGTCTGCAGATGCAGGGTCCCATAGTGTGGGAATTTACTCTGTTTTTTAGCTTTTTGCTGTTGCATCGTGTAGGATTGGGTGTTGTAGGAACCCCAGAAAATGCAAGTTGTAAGACCTGTTGGTGTCATTTTCTTAATGAAATGGGAGAGGTTATTCTCTCTTTCTAAAAATCTATATCCATCTCGTACAATAAAAGGCACGAGAGATTTGTGAAAGAAAGTCCAGCAGAAAATCAATCGGCATGGCGGGACGAATACAGGTTGGCCATATCAATGCAGTTGCAGGCTCATTTATGTAGTAATCCGTAGTACTATTACAAATGGTCTGATCAGGCACGTAAACGCATTCGCCTTTGACATGCAATTTCGCACAACACGCACGCCTAGTGTCAGTGCTTTTGCAAACACGCAAAAGAATTACACGTCAATATAATTGCAAAAGGATTATACGTCAATATATTAGAAGAAAAAGAGTTTTTATTTCACAACGCAATCACCTCGTGCCACTGCTAATGCCTCCGTCTCAAAATATACAAAAATTAAGGTTAAAAATGGGTACTAACAAAGTTCATAGAATTAAATAGGAGAATATAGTAATTAGTTGATAAGAGATATATATATATATATATATATATATATATATATATATATATATATATATATATATATATATATATATATATATATATATATAAAATTAAATGGTGAAAAATATGATTAGTTGGGAAAGAATATGACGAAGAAGTTATTGTATTTTTAAACAAATTTTAAAGGGAAATTGTTATATTTTGGGAGCGAGTGACGCAATCCGGATTCTCACGGGGGCCCTTAGTAAAAATGTTACACGTATGAGAGTTTATTTTGATTCCCTTAACATAGTACCCTCATAGACATCGTCCCCAACCTCGACTCCTACAACACCTTTATTCTCATAGACACTGAAAATGTATTTTAATGTTTTAAGAGGATATCCCATCGTTAAAAATTATAAAAAAATAAAAAAATTAACATGTGATATATCACCCTATAAATATGTAAGTTTAAATTCATTCTCTACGAGTTATAACCAAAATAACATATTTAAGTAGAACAATCACAATCATATTTTTTTCAACTTATAGAGGTGAAATTTAAACCTAGATATTTGTGAAGTGGTATATTACATTTTAATCTATCTTCATAAAAAAGTTGAGGAATGTGTTATACCGGTTTTGTGGCTAAGGGATACGATTCGACAAAGGGCAAGAGCATAGGGACGCATGATAGACTTATTCCTTTAGTAAACACATACTTTAATTAACTAATTAAAGTGTCCACATTAGGCCCATTATTTGTACCGAGTACTAAAAACTTGATTAAAAGCCCGTTTAATCGACGCTCCTGAGCACCAGCTGCGCGCGGAGTGGCTTCGCCATGACGGTGGTGAACTCAACTTCTCGGCGAAGTCCACCTTGTCGCCGACCACCGCCTTCCACTCGAACTCTCTCACCATGTTGGCCACGAAGTACTCCAGGTGCAACATGGCGGTGTTGATCCCCGCGCACATCCTCCGCCCGACGCCGAACGGCATCATGCGGATCCTCTTGCTGCCCGTCATGTCCACTCCCTCGCCGTCGCCGCCGGGTAGGAACCTCTCCGGCATGAACTGCATCGGGTTCTCCCATTCTCTCTCGTCTCTTCCCATCTCGGCCACCATGAAGTTCACCGTGGCGCCCTTGGGGATGAGGTACCCGCCGACGTCCATGTCCTCCGCCGCCTTGTGCGGCAGCGCGAAGTGGCCCAGCGGATGCTTCCGGAGACCCTCGAGGATGACGGCCTTTAGGTATGGCATCTTCTGGGTGTCCTCCTCGGTGATCTCGTCGTGGTCGTCGCTTACCGTGGCCTTGATCTCCTCGTAGAGCTTTGCTTGGATGGATGGGTTCTTGACCAGCTCGGCCATGATCCATGGCAGTGTGGTTGACATCGTGTCTGCGCCGGAGTCGAGGGAGCTCAGAGCATAGGCATACCATCGCTTTGTCGGTGAGAGCGCGGTCGCCGTCCTCAGGTAGCCTCAGGTCGAGCAGTGTGTCGACGTACGAGTGCTCGAATGTCGTGTCATTCTCCGGCACCGTTGCTGGTCGTTTGCGCTAAAACTAATCTGCAGTTAGAAAACAATCCGACTACTAAACGGCAAAGCCAATAATATTGAAAATTAAATCGATGAAATCGCCGAGATTAATCCCTTCGGCTGGATTGAATCCGAGACGAAAAAAAAACATGCTTGACGAAATCGGTAACGTCGGAGATTGGTTCCATCGCACTCATCGACAGGAAACTCGACAGCCCCCTACCTGGCGCGCCAACTGTCGAAACAAGATTTCGGCAATATAAACGAGGTAGCGCACGAGACCTAAAAGTAGAAGGACGCGAAGACAAGAATTTTAGAGGGACTGACTATCCATTTGTCGGGTGATTTTTAACAAGAAATCACCTAATTTTTTTCTACCCTTAGATTTACATCTAACAAACTACAAAAAGAAAATAAAAAATACATATTTACTTACACATCATTGTTATCAAAATTACAATGCACTTGCATGCCATATCAACTGAATTTACAAATGTAATTTTAGTTATATAGGACTGTAATTTTACAATTTAAAGAAAATAACAAATACATATTTACTTATATATCATTGTTATCAAAATTACAGTGCACTTAAATGTCATATCAACTAAATTTACAAATGTAATTTTAGTTATATATAACTGTAATTTTACATTTTAAAGAAAATACAAATACATATTTACTTACATATCATTGTTATCAAAATTACAGTGCATTTACATGTCATATCAACTAAATTTATAAATGTAATTTTAGTTATATATGACTGTAATTTTACATTTTAGAGAAAATACAAATACATTTTTACTTACATATGATTGTTATAAAAATTACAGTGCATTTACATGTCATATCAACTAAATTACAAATGTAATTTTAGTTATATAGGATTATAATTTTGTATTTTGGTTTCAAACGAGAGAGAAGGAGAGAGAACAACACGCATGTCAATTTTTCAGAGCGTAAAAAAAGCGAGACTGACCGATCGACGCTGGTACACGCGGCCCAACAGAATCCTATGCGGGTTCGCGCTTCCCAGCCCAATATATGCGCACGAATTTTGGCACACATTGAATGGCCTAAAAAATGACAAATCTGAGAGAAAAAATCACACGACAAATCTATAGCAAAATCGCGGGACTGACTATCCATTTGTCGGGTGATTTTTAACAAGAAATCACCTAATTTTTTTCTACCCTTAGATTTACATCCAACGAACTACAAAAAGAAAATAAAAAATGCATATTTACTTACACATCATTGTTATCAAAATTACAATGCACTTACATGCCATATCAACTGAATTTACAAATGTAATTTTATTTATATATGACTCTAATTTTACAATTTGAAGAAAATAACAAATACATATTTACTTATATACCATTGTTATCAAAATTACAGTGCACTTAAACGTCATATCAACTAAATTTACAAATGTAATTTTAGTTATATATAACTGTAATATTACATTTTAAAGAAAATACAAATACATATTTACTTACATATCATTGTTATCAAAATTACAGTGCATTTACATGTCATATCAACTAAATTTACAAATGTAATTTTAGTTATATATGACTGTAATTTTATATTTTAGAGAAAATACAAATACATTTTTACTTACATATGATTGTTATAAAAATTACAGTGCATTTACATGTCATATCAACTAAATTACAAATGTAATTTTAGTTATATAGGATTGTAATTTTGTATTTTGGTTTCAAACGAGAGAGAAGGAGAGAGAACAACACGCATGTCAATTTTTCAGAGCGTAAAAAAAGCGAGACTGACCGATCGACGCTGGTACACGCGGCCCAACAGAATCCTATGCGGGTTCGCGCTTCCCAGCCCAATATATGCGCACGAATTTTGGCACACATTGAATGGCCTAAAAAATGACAAATCTGAGAGAAAAAATCACACGACAAATCTATAGCAAAATCGAATTTTAGATAGGTTCAAACCCTCTCGATAAGAGTTCATACCCTACTGGCCTGTTTGGGGGCTTGAATCCGTCAGGTGCAGTATTAATCTGACGATCAGGTTGTGAATCCTCTATCCTAGAGGGCTTCCTACCCGCCTTATATAGGATGGGGGGCAAGATTACAAGATAGAAACCTTAATCAATACGGTATCGGTTTACTAAATCTACTTTACAATATTATCAAACTAAGACTTTATGCCGTTCTATAATATACAAGGAAACGTAATACTCAAGTCATGATCCGTACATATTCCATAGATATAAGTTATCCCCTATAACTAGTTGGATAACCATGTCGTGTGGGTATGGGGTACCTATAATCTTCACACACCTGTGTGCTGGCGACGCTAGCAGAGTCCGGGACAAGCTCTCTGAATTCCAATGATCATGTCAGTCATTTTTGCACCAATAGTTCGATAACTAGATTTGGTTCTGTAGGTGTTTGTGAGCGACTAGTTCTTGAACTGGGACACGGAGAACCGGATCAAAGTCCGTATCATCTCAGCCAGGGCGTACCACTCACATGTAAGTGAAGCTGTGCCACCTCGCCGAGGAATTCCTCGGTCACGGCAGGCGCGCGAGGGACGAGCGGCGGCGTTTCTCCCAGCAGAAACGGCGTGCGTGCGTCCCGCGCACCGCCTGACCTCATTGACACCACCTCCGCACTCGACCACTCGTTGCTCGTTGGTCATGGCGGGCGTGCGAGGGATGAGCGGTGCCGCTCCTCCTCCAAGCACTACCGGCATGCGTGCGGTTAAAGATGGAGTCGTCGGTGCAAAGGCAGGGGCGGGAGAGGATGAGCTCGAGTAGGGTAGAGGCACCGGAGTGAGGGGAGACGACGGGACTCCACAAGGCGGCCAGGCGGGCGGCGAGCAGGGACGTTAAGCGGTGGTCGGGGTGGAAGGCTGGAGAGTCGGCCACGGCCGTGAGGAGTGGAGGTCGAGCGCCGCCAGACATGGGTGGTGGCACGCGCAGCGGAGGATGCAGAGGAGAAGGGGAGCGCCAAGAAAGGGATCGGCGGTGGGAGGTGGGAGACGGCAAGCAAGCAGACAGGATGTGCGGTTGCAGAGAAAGGGATAGAGTAAAGAGGGGATAGATGATGGAAGAAGATGGGAATTTACAGGTGGATCCCGCTATTTTTTTTTTCTGATTGTGATGACACGTACTCCCTCCGTTTCACGATGTAAGTCATTCTAACATTTTCCACATTCATATTGATATGAATGAATCTATACATATATATCTATCTAAATTCATTAACATCAATATAAATATGAGAAATGCTAGAATGACTTACATTATGAAACGGAGGAAGTAGCTGTCATGTTGGATAAAGACCGGGTCAATGTACCACGTAGGACGAAACCGTCATTTAAATCGCTCGAGGAGGTAAATTGATCCGGTTTTTGAGGATCCTCTATATCCGGTTTCATAGTTGAGGGATACGATTTGAACCTGTGCAATAGTTAAGGAAGGTAATATAGACTTATTGCTTAGTAAACACACTCTCCAATAAACCAACTGGTCACATTGGGCCAATTATTTGTACAGAGTACTAAAACTCATTAAGCCCATTTAATCGACGCTCCTGAGCACCAGCTGCGCGCGGAGTGGCTTCGCCATGACGGTGGTGAACTCAACTTCTCGGCGAAGTCCACCTTGTCGCCGACCACCGCCTTCCACTCGAACTCTCTCACCATGTTGGCCACGAAGTACTACAGGTGCAGCATGGCGGTGTTGAGCCCTGCGCACATCCTCCGCCCGACGCCGAACGGCATCATGCGGATCCTCTTGCTGCCCGTCATGTCCACTCCCTCGCCGTCGCCGCCGGGGAGGAACCTCTCCGGCATGAACTGCATCGGGTTCTCCCATTCTCTCTCGTCTCTTCCCATCTCGGCCACCATGAAGTTCACCGTCGCGCCCTTGGGGATGAGGTACCCGCCAACTTCAATGTCCTCCGCCGCCTTGTGCGCCAGCACGAAGTGTCCCGGCGGATGCTTCCGGAGACCCTCGAGGATGACGGCTTTTAGGTATGGCATCTTCTGGGTGTCGTCCTCGGTGATCTCGTCGTGGTCGTCGCTTACCGTGGCCTTGATCTCGTCGTAGAGCTTGGATTAGATGGATGGGTTCTTGACCAGCTCGGCCATGATCCACTGCAGCGCGGTGGACATCGTGTCCGTGCCGGCGTCGAGGAACTCGGAGCAGAGGCTTACCATCTCTTTGTCGGTGAGAGCGCGGTTGCCGTCCTCGGGTAGCCTGAGGTCGAGCAGTGTGTCGACGTACGAGTGCTCGAACGTTGTGCCATTCTCCGGCAAGGTTGGCTGTGTCCTTGTCTTGCGCTCTCGCCGCGCGTTGATGAGCGGCACAAATAGCTCCTTCTGCCGCCGCCTCAGAGCTAGGGCCATCTTGATGCGCCCACGGAAGAGATGCTTGGTGATCGTCGAGCAGAACGCGAACACCCTCATCTTCGTCGCGAAGTACACGATCCAGTCGTGCTGCGCCGTGGCGATGGCGCGCACGTCGGCCTCGTCGAGCCGCTCGCCGAAGCACATGACCACGAGGAGGCAGAACATGGCGTACTGGAGCGTGTCCATGACGCCGTGGGGAGCCTGGCCGGACGCCGCGGCCAGCTTGCCGACGAGCACGCGGCGCGCCCAGGAGCGCGCGGGCGCGAACACGCGGGCGCGCGTCGTCGACGGGTGCAGCGTCCCGGAGACGAGGCCGCGGCGCAGGAGGCGCCACGTCGGCCCGTAGCTGGCGCGCGTGATGGTGTTGCCGTTCTCGCCGAGGAGAGCGCGCGTGACCTCCGGGCGGTCGGCGAGCGCGGCGCCGCGCTCCACCAGTGCGGCGTGCGCGACGCGGCGGTCGGCCACGAAGATGGAGAGGCGGGAGCCCACGCCCAGCGACACGACGGGGCCGTGGCGCGCGATCAGGCGCCGCAGGAGAGGCTCCAGGTCGGCCGGCGAGTGCCACAGCCAGAGCAGGTTGCCGAGGACAGGCACGGCGAGCGGGCCCGGCGGGACACGGCAGCCGCCGCCACGCCCACCTCCCTTCCCGTCGCTGCGCAGCGAACGGAGGACGAAGAACGGGAAGAGGAAGGCGACGAGGAGCAGGAGCCACGGTGATGCGTCGATGGTCATGGCGATCGAGATCGAGTTCGCTCCGCTTGGTCAGTTGACGTTAAGCTAGTTTAGCTTCACTGCCTTGTGGCTGGAGATGATGGATCGAATTCCGTGGCATTCCACAGATTATATATGGATCGATCAGCATTTGCGATAAAAGTACTCCACAGATTTTTCACGTGATCAATGAACAGTTCACTCACAAGGGGTTCCATAACCTATTAATAGATGCAATTGCGGGAAACTATTTTGATCCCTCGAGGGGATATCCCCTCGTTATTTACATGTTATTCAAATGGTTATGAAAAAAATTAAAAAAAAATTGAGAAGATGTATTAACATGCAATATATTACTCCACAAACATGTAAGTTCAAATTCAACTTCTACGTCTCACAACGAAAAAAACAAATTAAACTACAGCTAGTTAACATATATTTACAGTCAAAAGAATTTTTTCGTTACGAGATGTGGAAGTTGAATTTCAACTTGCATATTTGTGGAGTGATATACCACATGTTAATACATCTTCTTAAATTTTTTCAAATTATTTTATAACTATTTGAGTTATATGCAAACAACGAGAGGACATCCCCTCGAGGGATCAAAATCCAGTCCCAAATGAAATTGCTAGTCTACTTTAGAACAAGTATAAAAGTAGGCTGTAAGCCGACTAAATGTTGAGGTGGAGGAGAGAAGAGAGGAGAAGCGGCTGTAAACTTACAGTCGGCTTGGACATAAGAATCAAGAAAATTTATGAGAGACAACTGGGTCCTATATAATTGTAAAGAGCTAACTATTATATGGGTAGGCTGAGAGAAGGCTGTAAAGAACCTTATAGCTAACAAGTCAGCTGTATTATTAGCCTTGGTCTTAATTGTATGTGTCTAGTTCTTTTTCTTAAGGAAAAAGTACAAATTACCCCCCCCCCCCGAACTATAGCGGTCGTCTGAATTACCTCCTAAACCACAAAACTGGTCATTCTTCACCCCGAACTATGTAAACCGGACGAATTACCCCCCTCGACCTAATCCGCGGTGGTTTTGGTCTACGTGGCATACGCGTGGCAGTCCAGTCAGCATTTTATTTATTAAAAAAATGTGGGACCCACCTGTCATACTCCCATCTAACTATTCCTCTCTCTCTCTCTTATCTCCCTCTTCTCTCACTCTCTTCTCACTCACGCGCACAGCGGCAGGCGGGCGACAGGGAGCGGCGGCGGCGGTGGAGGCGAGCGGCGGGGGATGAGGCGGCGAGCGGCGGCGGGGTGCGGCGGAGGAGGCGAGGCAAGGCGGCGGCGGCAGAGGCGAGCGGCGGGGGATGAGGCGGCGAGCGGCGGCGGGGTGCGGTGGAGGAGGCGAGGCGAGGCGGCGGCGGAGGAGGAGGAGGAGGAGGCGAGCGGCGGCGGGAGCTCGCGCTGCTCGAGGCGAGGCGAGGCGAGGTGGCGGCGGCGGCAGAGGAGGAGGCGAGCGCAGCGGCGGCGGGGTGCGGCGGAGGAAGGGAGCGCGGCGGCAACGGCGGCGGGGTGCGGCGGAGGAGGCGAGCGCGGCGGCGGGGTGCGGCGGAGGAGACGACCGGCGGTGGGGTGCGGCGGCGTCGCGGGCCACGCGGAGCCGCCTCGCCTCGACGAGCGCTGCCACGACCATGGCGAGGCAGGCCGTCGCCGCGTCCGGCTGGTCGACCAGGCCGGCGTCGTGGGCCATGCGGAGCCGCCTCGCCTCGACGAGCGCCGCCGCGACCATGGCGAGACAGGCCGCCGCTGGTGAGGCGCCTCGCGAGCGGCACCACCAGGCGGTCTCGCCCTGCCTCGCCGCCGCAGCCTCGCCTCCTCCGCCCCCGCCGCTCGCCTCGCCGCCGCGCTCGCCTCTCCACCCCCTCGCCTCCTCCGCCGCCGCGCCGCCTCGCCTCGCCGCGCTCCTGCCATGCCGCCGCCGTCTAAAGGAGAAGAGAGAGAGAATGAGAGATAGAAGAGATAGAAGAGAGAGATAAACTGGCAGGTGGGGCCCACCTATTTTTTAATAAATAAATTGCTGACTGGACCGCCACGTAGACCAAAACCACCGCGGATTTGGGTCGAGGGGGGTAATTCGTCCGGTTTACATAGTTCAGGGTGAAAAATGTCCGGTTTTGTGGTTCAGGGGGGTAATTCAGACGACCGCTATAGTTCGGGGGGGGGGGGTAATTCGTACTTTTTCCTTTTCTTAATTATTTTTTATAGAGGGTTCTCCTTTGGTTATCCAACATGTTTTTCTATCGTAACAGAGGATAAGGGAGTATTTTCTCCATCCCATAAAAACAAAATTAGTATGACACGTGATGCATGCTAGTACTATAACTCTGGACATGTGCATGTAAATGTTTATATTTAAAGCATACCCCAAATTTCAGATATTGTACATTATATTTGTGCTTGGATTCCAATTTTTCTTGATCAATGTGTGGATCTCTAGTTCTTTGGAGCGAATATGATCGCTTCTTTTTCCACAAATTTATTAAGTTAATAATAGATATATGGGAAAAAAAGGCATGCTCTCGTATATTTGTTTTTGAAGAAAAGGCAAAAGCTTTGCCTTATGTATATTAATAGAGCAGGAGAAAAATAAACATAAGCAAGTGTATATACAGGGTTAGTCGAGGAAAAAGACTAGCCCGCAAAAAAGGAATCGAGCTAAGTGATATCTCCTAGGATTCCAAACTCCTGCAGAGTTGTTGCCCCTTCTTTGACCCATGCTCTCAGATATTGACACGTTGATTTGCTCTATAACGTTCCGGTTTCTTCAGAAAACATGCTTGGGTGCAGTACTGAATTCGACTTCAGAAAATGAATAGCGGTTCTATTCCACACTTGTGACTTCAGAAAATCTGAAAATGAATACAAGAAGTTTGGCCAAAATATAGATATCATTGCACGTTCAGTTGTACTGTGCCACACGATGAATTGCTCCTTGCAATTTGGGAAGCACGTTCCTAGCTCCTTGACCAGTTGACGACGGACCACACTCCCGTCTCTGTACGTAC